CTTTATTTCTTCAACCTTACATTTTTGATGTACCTGAAGGTACTTGTAAATCTATGCATTTTAAATGATGATGTGTATTATTACATTGTATGAATATACTAGAATTCATTACTCTGTTTTCCTTTTGATAGACATTTAGTTTATTTGAAAACTATGTACCCCTCTGTACATTTTTAAGTTAATTCTTTTTTTTAAACCCAAGGTAAGAATTACAAAGGATACATGTTTTAGCATATTCTATATTGTATTTATGCTTTAAATATATTTTGGTCAAAACTTTGGAGCAGATTTGGCTAATCTGATTTATGGGAAATGTTTATCATTTATCGGAAAGGGCAAGCCAGTCTTCATCATCAAAACAAACACTTATCAGACTTATCTTCTGTCAGGAATATATGACTTTATTTTTCAATTCAAATACAAGTGCTTTATACTCATTTCTATGACAACCAATTCACTTTTGAATTCTAAGATAGATGTAAAGAAAGAAGGATAGATAAAAAGATAAAGACATGGGCTTTGCCTTGTTTTTGTCACTTGGATTAAATAAGGCCCTGCTCCCTTCAGTGTTTTTTAACAAAGATTACTGCTTATAGTCCTGGGACTCTCCCTCATGAGCTATATACATTCTTGAAATATCTCTTTGGCACCCAGAAATTTTTTTTTTAGACCTAGGGCAATCCAGCATGGTAAGGCTCAAAGAGGAGATCTCTCTCTCTCTTTTAAAAGGATGATTATGAAGGAGCGTAGTCATAATTGAGAATAGGCAGACTTCTTTTCTAAGGACTCTCAGTTCTAAAAAGGGTTCCATGGAAGTTGAGGGTCTTTTTTTTTTAAGATTTTATTTATTTATTTGAGAAAGAAAGAGAGAGAGCAGTGGGGAGGGGCGGGGGGGGGGGGAGAGAGAGAGAAGCAGACTCCCCATTGAGCAGGAAGCCTGACACTGAGCTCAATCCCAGGACCCACAGACCATGACCTGAGCTGAAGGCAGACACTTAGCTGACAGAGCCACCCAGGCACCCCAAAGTTGAGGGTCTTAATGAGGCTCCCATAAAACTATCTATGCCTGCATATTCCTTAGAACAGCATTGTATACTCCCAGCTGTATGAATACACCATTAGGAAGAAAACTGCTCTACTGTATATACTTTGAAGTGAATACTTGGGTTGAAAGGTATGGTGCATCTTCAACTCTATTAAATATTTTTAAGCAGGTTTCCAGCATGTTTGATCTATTTTCACTCAATAATTAGAGCATGAGAATCGCCATTGTTCCACTTCCTCTTCTGTAATGTCAGATTTAAAAATTTTAAATCACATGCTAATTTAAATATATATTTCCCTAATGAATTATGAGGTTGAGTTTTTCTGTATATATTTATGGCCATTAAGATTACCTATTCTGTGACTTGACAGTTCATATTCTTTGCCGATTTTTCTCTTAGATTACATGCTTTTTACCTATTTTATATATTCTTGATGTTTATATTCATCTGTTACACATATTGCAAAAATTTTCTCCCAGACTGGCTCTCTCCTTTTTTAAGAAAACTTTTAAATTAAAACAGTTTTAAATTTACAAAAAGGTTGCAAAAGTAGTGCAGAAAATTCCTGTATACCCCACACCCAGTTTCCCCTATTATCAATATCTTACATTAGTGTGGTACAGTTGTCACAATTAATGAACCAATATCACATAGTAGTATTAAGTAAAGACCATACTTTCTTCAAATTTCCTTACCTAAAGTCCTTTATTCCCCCCTGTTCCAGGATCCCATCCAGGATATCACAGTAATTTAGTCATCATGTCTCTTTAGGATTTTCTTGGCTGTGATAGTTTCTCAGTTTTCCCTTGTTTTTGATGACCTTAATAATTCGAGGAATACTGATGAAGTATTCCTCAGTTGGAATTTGTGTGATAGTTTTCTCATAGGTATACAGAGGTTAAGGGTTCTGGGGAGGAAAATCACAGATGAGAAGTGCCATTCTCATCACATCACATGAAGGGTACCTACTATCAACATGACTTACTACTGTTGATATATTTTTTTTATTATGTTATGTTAATCACCATACATTACATCATTAGTTTTTGATGTAGTGTTCCATGATTCATTGCTTGCGTATAACACCCAGTGCTCCATGCAGTACATGCCCTCTTTAATACCCATCACCAGGCTAACCCATCCCCCCAACTCTCTCCCCTCTAGAACCCTCAGTTTGTTTCTCAGAGTCCATAGTCTCTCATGGTTCGTCTCCCCCTCCAATTTCCCATCTCTCATTTTTCTTCTTCTTCTTTTTTTTTTTTTTAACATATAATGTATTATTTGTTTCATAGGTACAGGTCTATGATTCAACAGTCTTACACAATTCATAGCGCTCACCATAGCACATACCCTCCCCAATGTCCATCACCCAGCCACCCCATCCCTCCCACCCCCCACCACTCCAGCTGTTGATATTAACATCTATCACCTGACTGAGGTAGTGTTTGTCAGGTTTCTCCATTATAAAGTAATTCATTTTTTTTTCCCTTTCCATATTGTACCCTTTGGAAGGAAGTCGCTTTGGCAGTCCACACTTAAGTAGTGGGGAGGTATAGTCTACCTCTTTGGAGATGATATGTATACATAAACTATTTGGAATTCTTTTGCATGGGGGATTTGTCTATTCTCTCCCATTTATTTATTTAATCATTTATTTATAGCAGTGTGGAGTTATGGATATTTATTTTATACTTGAGATTATAATCCACTGCTACTCTATTTATTTTGTTTTGTCAAGTTGTTCCAACTTTGACTATGGCTATTTTTTTTTTTACTTTACTTGAAGATTTGTATTCTAAACATTTGAAAAAAGTGTTAATATTATTCTTTATGGTTTGTATTACTTTGTGTCACGTTAAGAAATTCTACTCAATAGCTGGTAAGTGAAGATTCAAGTGCACATGGGATAGTCTTCTTCTAAATATGTAATATTTTGCAAATTCAAATATAATTTAGGAAATTACTAATTTCAGCTTGAATTTTTTTTTTTTATTATTTGACAGAGAGAGAATGAGAGAGAGAGCACATGAGAGGGGGGAGGGTCAGAGGGAGAAGCAGACTCCCCGCCGAGCAGGGAGCCCAATGCGGGACTCGATCCAGGGACTCCAGGATCATGACCTGGGCCAAAGGCAGTCGCTTAACCAACTGAGCCACCCAGGCGCCCCTTCAGCTTGAATTTTTGTGTATAATGTGAAGCAGGGAACCAGTTTCTACTTTTTGCATATTTGACCGATTTTCCCTATTCTATTTATTTAACAGGCTGTCCTTTTTTTACTTATTTATGTCACCACAGATATATATTAATTTTTGTATGTACATGGGTCTATTTCTGGGCTTTCTTTCCCTTTTAGTTTGTCCATTTGTCTATCAGTACATCCATATTGTCTTAATTATTATGGAAGTGTAATAAGTCTATTTACAACGAGCAACTACCCATACTTTGTTCTTCTTTAGAATTGTCTTAGATATTCTTGGTTCTTTAATTACATGTATAAATTTTTGTATTAGTTTGTCAAATTCTATAGGATGTTTTGTTAGGAAATTGATTTGAAAAGTACTCATTTCTTTTTTTTTTAAATGAAATCCTTTATTTCCATTAAATATTATCAGTTATCATGACTGTGTATAGGAATGCTTTTGAATTTTATATATTGACCTTATATGCAGAATCTTAAACCTTCATAATAGTCTAATGATTAATTTAATTTATCCAGAATTATCTGTGTATGCAACCATATTATTTATAAATAATGGCAATTTGGTCTCTTCCATTCTAATGTATATGCAGTATTTATTTTTCTTATTTTGTTGCATTAACTAGGATTTCCAGTACAATATTCACCTGTGGTATTTAACCTCCAAATATTTGGGGATTTTACAAATAACTTTCTGTTATTAATCTCTAAATTAATTCTATCATGATAAGAGAATATAATCTGTATTATTTTACTCCTTTAATAATTAAGACTTGTTTTATGGCCCAGCATTCATGCTATCTTTGGGCTATCCCATGTGCACTTGAATCTTCACTTACCAGCTATTGGCGTAGTGTTCTGTGAATGTTAGATAAGTCGGTTTATAATGTTTTAAAATCATGTATATGTTTCTATTGATTTTCTGTCTGTTTTATTAATTACTGAGTGAGAATGTTGAAATGGTCAATTACAATTGTGGATTTATTTATTTCTTCCTTAAGTTTTGTCAGGCTTTCTTACAGGCATTTGAAGCTTTGTATCTGAATATATGCATACTTAGAATTGCTATGTCTTCTTTATCATTATGAAATGTCTCTATCCCTGATAACATTTCTTATTCTGAAGTCCACATTGATATTAATTTAGCCACTCTAGGTTTCTTATGATTAGTGTTTCCTGGTATATCTTTTTACATCTATGTTTATGTCTGTATCTACTTATATCTGTACTTAAAGTCAGGTTCTATTACAGACAGCATATAGATGGGTCTTGCTTTCTTCTTAGTCTGTCTAATAATCTCTTCCTTTTAATTACAATGTTTTTTCCTTTAACATTTAGTGGAAGTATGATTGGTGTGGTTAGGCTTAAATCTGCAAACTTATTTTTTTCTATTTGTTCCACTTACATATTTTTTATTTTTCTGTCTTTTTTTTTTTTGGTCTTTTTCTGCCTTTTGTTTTAGTTTCAGTATTTTTATGAATCTCTTTTATTTCCACTGTTGGGTTGTCACCTGTACCTCTTTGTTTTATACTTTTAGTGGTACTTCTAGGATTTAAAAGTTGAGTGTTTAATTTGTTACAGTTTACCTTCAATAGTTACTTCATTATGTGGAATGTAGAAACCTTACAACAGTTTACTTTCATTTCCCCCTCATATCCTTTATGCCTATTGATATCATTTATTTTATATATAAAATAATTACAAATTCCACACAAACATTGATTATAATTTCTGATTTAATTAGTCAATTATGCTTTGAAGAAATTTTTTTAAATGGGGAAATAAAACTCTTTTACACTTACTCACATGTTTGTCTCTCTTTATTCCCCGTATAGCTTCAAGTTTTCATCTGTTAATATTTTCTGTTTCAGGAACCTCCTATAGCATTTCTTGAAGTGAAGACCTGCTGACAATAAATTCTCTCAGTTTTTGTTGGTCTGAAAAGTTCTTTATTTCATCTTCATTTTTCAGATACTTAAAAGTTGTTGTTCAATATTATATTCACAGGTTATTTATTTATTTTTCTTTAGCAATTTAAAGATTTCATTCCACTGTCTCCTGGATTGCTGAGATTCTGATAAGAAATCTGTTGTCATTCTTATTTTTTCTTCTGTATATAATGTACCTTTTTTGTTGGCCTTTTTACATAGTTTCTCCTTATCAGTGGTTTTCAGGAATTTGATTATGTGTGCCTCAGTGTGTTTTTGTTTTTGTTTATCCTTCTTAGACCTTAAATGTTTCTTGGATCTTTAAGTTTATCTTGTCACTAAAGTTGACAAAAATTTAATCACTACTCCTTCAAGTATTCTTTCTGTCTTCACATTTTCCTTTCCTTTGGCAACTTCAGTTATATATATGTTAGAGCACTTGATGTTGTTCCATAGGTTACTGAGGTTCTGGGTTTTTTGTTGTTCTTGTTCAGATATTTTTTTCTTTTGAGCTTCATTTGAAAAGTTTCTATTTGCTATTTTGTGAAACTCACTTTTCTGTTGTTTGTTTGGGTTCTCCCTCCCTGCACCATGGTCTGGAAACTGTCTCCAAGCAGAAACCTGGTGTGATTATAAAGCTCATTTTATTTATTTTTTCTTTCTTTGGAGGAATCATAGTCCTGTGATGTTCAGTGTTCAGTTTCTAAAAACTGTTGTTTTATATATTTTGTTCAGTTTTTTAGTTGTTTATAATGAGAGGGTAAGTTTGTACCCACTTCCTCTTTCATGCCAGAAATGGAAGACCACCTTGTATAGTTTTAAATTAATTTTTGTTGTTTTTATTGATATTGCTCTCATTACCATTTAGATCAGGTTCCTCATCTCAGCCATAGTTTGGATTTGATGACTCTTAATAAAAGAGGTTAGTTTTAAGGAAGAAGGCAGAAGGGGAAAGCTAATCCTGCTATCTTAGCCCCCCCTTTTTTAAAGATTTTTATTTATTTATTTATTTTAGAGAGAGAGTGAGTGAGTGGGGGAAGGGGCAAAGGGAGAAGAGAGAGAATCCCAAGCAGGCTCCATGCCCCGTGTGGAGCCCCACACAGGGCTCAGTCCCACAGCCAAGTTTGTTTTATCAGTGAATTCTTTTTCTTTAACTGCTTTATTAAGGTTTAATTAACAAATAATATGCCACATTTAAGGTATGTGATTTGATAAGCTTTGACATATGTTTAACCAATAAAACCATTATCGTACCCAGGACAGCAAACATATCCATCATTTCAAAAGTTTTCTTGTGCCACTTCTCAATTCCTGCCTCCCACCCCTTGACTGTCCCCAGGAAACTGATGATGTCTTTTCTATCAATGTAGATCAGCTTACTTTTTTTACAGTTTACACGAATGGTTCATATAGCATATACTCTTTTATCTGGCTTCTTTCACTCGGCAGAATTTGGAGAGTCATCTATGTTTTTGTGTGTATCAGTTGTTCATTTCTTTTTGTTGATGAGTATATTTCATTTTATGGATATACTATGCATCCACTGTTCACTAATTGATGGACATTTGCATTTTTGACTATTACAAGTAAACTGCTATAAACATTTGTGTGCAAAAAAAGAAGTTAGTTTTAGCTAAAATTCCAAATGTGTTTTTGTTAGATTTTTCTTCTATTGTGGAATTGTGGGTAGGGATACCAAGGCTCTTGTCTAGGGAGGCTAAATAATATCTATTTTGGGTATATATTAGCTAATTCCCAAACTTGCCTTTTAATTGAATGTCTACATATTGTCATATAAATAGTTTTTACTCTAATTCTTACTTCCAGAACAAGAAAATTGAGAATTAAGTGAGAGATATTATTTTACATCTGGCCTTTATTATATTCTGCTAGAGATCTAAAAGCAAATGCAGTTTCAACACCATATTTGATATTAGAATTTAAGTACCAAATGGTACCTCGGTGTCTGAGAAGATGCTCCCTAGGCTATCCCCCCAAATGTGTAAGTTTTCTTTTGCCTTGCAGAATGTTGAATAAAAAAATAATTCTGGAGTTTCAATTGTTCCCCAATAGAAACTCTAGTTTAGTTTAACTATTTCAAATAAATATCTCAAGAGACTAAAAACTATTTTAAATAGATGACAATACCTTTTGGCATCATCTCATGCTAGTACAATTTAAACGAATACTATCTTTCATAGACAAAAATCTATTTTAAAATTCTATCTGTAAAACAGCTGAGGGAGAATTATAAACATAGGATTATTCTGTTATTCTCCTTACCATTTAAAAAGTATTGTTCTTGAAATCTACTTTATTTAGGTCCTGAAATAATTTTAGAAAGTATACATAGTTTTGCTTTCCAAGGTCATGGTATAAATATACCCACTGAGGACAAGAGAAAGCTTTCAATCATGCATAGTTACAATATCTCTCACACCATGCCATCTTCCTCTAAGGTGGAAAACTAAAGTGTACCTAAAAATTTCAAGTAGCTGCCCATTTCCTGGAGTAGAACAAAATAGAAAATATCCAAGTTAGATTGTGTTCAAAAATGAGGTGAAACCTTATTTGTGTTGGAGGATGGGAGCAAATGCTGTTGGATGGTTTTTGGACTTGACAGCATAAGTCAATTTTCAGTAAGAGGGCTCATTTGACTTTATCTCTCAGATTCCTTTAGTAACAAAAGCCATGGTCCAGCAAGATCTCAGCAAAAGCATAATTATAATGATAATGATAATAATAGTAAGATGAAACAAAAACTCCGCACACAAAAATAGTAACAAAAACAGGCAAAACAAACAAACAAAAAAACTAATAGAAAATACAGGGAGAAGCAAGCAGGTCAGACATCTGAAATAATTTTCCATATTGAATTACAAATTTCTTTTGACCCCATAGTAATTTTTTAGTTTCCTAATGTTGATTACTAATGGGTTTTTGGCTTGGTCTGTGAGTTTGGATAATGGTAGCAGTGAGAGGAGTGCTCAGAAGCGGTATAGGTTTATTTATGTGTATATATAATAGTGCATTGTGATGGAGAATCCTTAATTTAGAGTAGCATAAAGAATTTGAAGATTACTTCAGAGGGCATTCAAAAACCATGTATTTGATATCCATAATTTCTAAAGGGACAAAGTTTTCAGGTAAAGTTTCTACTACTCAGATTTTCACTGAGAGGTATTTGGAAATTTGATGGAAGAAAATGTGCCAAGTAGAGATATGTTCATTTGCTTGGTCCTCTACATTTAGACTAAAGGTAGTATTAGCTGCTTTCATATTTGGTTGAAATGCCTTGAGAAAGCAAACATTTCTGAGAGAGCTGCTTATCTGCTGCTTATTTCAACTAGCCTGAGCCTCCTGTGATAGTTTGGCTTTTAATTTCTTCTGAAGGGTACTCCATTCCCATACTCTTACCAGTCCTTATGAATCCTCCCAGTCCTGTCTCACTAGACAGCTCAAAAAAACCAAATCTGTGTGAAACCCCTCTCACTATATAATAAGATAATGGTTACAGTGATTATACTATATTTGTAGGAGGATCAGGAAGACTTAGTTGTTTTTATTATGGTGTACCATAGAGTTCTAAAATTATAACACAGTCAGCCTAAAGCCAAGGTCAACTATTTTTAAAAATATGCATTATTTTATCTAAGAAAGGTAATATATAATCATTGCAGAAAATGAAGAAAATTGGAAAATCAGAGTTAACTCTTTCTATCCCATCTAACCTAACTTTTTTCAAGTAAGGCATGATGGTGTACAGATTATCCAGTTATTCTTTCTTATTGAGTCTTTTAGATTTTATGGAATCTCTGCAATGACCATTGTGTAGCTGATGTGACAGATTTCAGACTAGGAGACTCTGGAACTTCATCAGTAGTCCCCAATAAAAACCAGACCTCTCCTCTGCAAACAGTTCCTTGAGCCTTAAATGCAACTTGAGAGAAAAACATGTTTATCCAGAGTGGATGAGAATAGACAAACCATAGGATATAAAGTTTTGTAAGATTCCATGATTAAAATTTTCTAAGGTATATTGGACTCTGTTTTGCTATTACCATTTGACTTTGGAATCTGTAGTCAGTTTCGGATAACAATTTCAATTCATTGGCAAAGAGAAAATATTTAGATGACGGATCCATGTTTCTAATACCATATTTTAAAATGCATTTTGAATGATATTATATGGAACCTTAATCTGATGCTTAAGGTATTATACTTTGTGTCCTTTTATTATAAACAAACAGAAAAGTCAAATGCCCCAAAGCAAAAAAATTACATGATGAGATATGTACAGATATGTAGAGCATCCCATGGTTCTTCTGGAATTTCCTTTGCTTAAGAAATTATTCATTTAGTTACTTGGTCTGTTTGTTGAAGGACAGCTAAGTATAAATTATAAAATAAATATTCCATATTGCTTGCAAATTTTACCCACTTTGAATATGGTTACAAAGATGAGAGGATGCTAAAGAGAAAAAAAAGTTCCAACACTTTCCAGTAAATGTATAATTTGACTTTAGTGGGAATTATTGATGTGAAGGAAATTAAAATTGATTACCAAATTCCCAAGGATTAAGAACAATCTGAAAAAAAGACATTCCATTCCTAAGGATCTGGGATGAAAATGTCCCTGATAGAGTCTTCCTTTAGTATCCCTTAATTTATCCAGACCATTTCTAGGGTCCAGTTTACTTGTCAGCTCCAGTAAGGGAGATGGTAATGCTTTATAAAAGTAACTGGGGTATTTCACTGCATTGGGAAGCCACTTTTAAACTGCCATCCATAAACCCTCATCAAAACTTGTTACTGGAAGATCTTACCTAAATGACTGCATTTCCCAACTGAGGTTGGTGGTGATGACATTGTCAAAGATGTGGACTAAGAAGCCAAGGTCCAGCCTTACAAGGGGGTAACAACAGAGTGTGTTCCCTTTGCTTCTGCTCCATGCAGTAAAAATGAAAGTTCATCA